GGTGTCCAAGCTGCCTCTACTGGGGCTGGGTTATGTACTGCTTCCTGCAGACCATCTTCAGCCATTGTTGTTGTTGCTCTATACTCTTCTATATATTGTCTAATGGCCCGAATACTCCTATATTAGGCGATAAGCAAGAATGATTATAGATATATTTGTTCCTGTTATTCCAAATAAACCAGAGTCACAGCAACTATCTCCTTATTTTCTGGACTCAATGCAAGAAAGAATTCAAGAAAATCATCTATAAATGAATTATGGTGGATAGAGTGCAAAGAATTAGCACTAACAATTAAACAAACACAAATGATACATTCATAATAACATGTGATATTATAAAACTATAATTATAATGTGTATGATTATTTTTTTTTTAAACTTTATACATAATATTATTATATATTTACTTATTTAAATTTACAATTTTTTATAATATTATAACAATATTATTGTCCAACTGGGGATTGAACCAAAGTTTCATTTGATTTTTCGTGTGTGCTTTTCCACCTGAGCTTTCAATCATAACAATTGGTCATGTGAACTTATGAAGCCTTTCACATTAGATTGTGGAATAACGTGTGTGAATCATTTCCATAATAATGAGTAAAAAAATGAAGTTCGGTATTGACCTTGTATATTATAAAGATCTTCAATTGTAGCTCTCCCAGGTTAATTGGCCCTTGAAACCTCTCTGATTACAATTTTTTAACACTACGGAGGCACCTGCCTCTGACATGATAGAGTACAATTAAAGAAAACAAATATGCTCAATGAAACTCTACATGCATTTAAACATTGAAAAGGTATTCTTTTGCCTTTAGGAAGATCCACAAGATACTATATGATATTTTGAGCAATGGGATCAGGTAATGATCTTTAGAGAGAGATTATATAATGTAATCATTATGAAAAAAGCGATCGGCAGCAATGAAGGCAAGAAAACCATCGCCCTGAAGTCTTTGGAAACCATCGCCCAGAAAACTTTGGAAACCATCGACCTGAAGCCCTTGGAAACCATTGACCTGATGCCTTTGGTTGCTCTAGTTCCTCTCTTGGAGACTGCTTTGGTGGTAGTTCTTGTGACTTCCTCTGCCTTTGGACATCATGCTTCTCTGACCCCACGTTCACAGAGCAATAATAATTTCTTCCATCCTCGCTTGCAGATGGTGCCAATCTGAAACCACCAACATAACATATTTGGTTGTAGGACAAATCCAACTTCAAATTAAAGTTGAAAATGGTAAGATTAATCTCTAATAAATAGAATGCAACATGAAAGCTTACACTGGGAATGCAAAGGAACGTGCGCTGTGATTACTCCCAGTTCCATCGGAACGATGAGACATACATGTGATGGTTGAATTATAGGCCTCCATAGCCAGGGTCTCATTTTTCACCTCCTGTTCTCCCACAACTTCACGTCCACCAAAATCTTCCTTTAGGAGATCAACCGGGGCTCCTGTCACTCCCAAGCTCTCTACCTTAATTTCACCCCCCACCGTAGCCATAACCTCTGTCTCGTTGACGGGCGGCAGTTGACTCCCCTGTACATTGCCCTGCTGATCCTCTGCCCTGATCAATTCCCCTGATTTATACAACATAAAAGCATGGTCCCTCGTGAAACTGTTGTTTCCTATCTGAATACTAAACAATGATTCATTCGAAGCAGCACTCCATTCCATGGGATTTGCAGGTTTACTGGAAAAGATTGATGATGGAATCCGACTCGGATCATAGCCTTCTGGTGATTGTGTGAATGAGTCCTCTGGGGAGCTAATAAAAGAAAAACTTTGAGGGTCTATTGGGGGTGAGGAGGAATAACTTTTGTGTTTCAGAACATTTTTTGGGAGGAATATGAGTTCCTGGGAAGAACCTGACGATGAGGATGAATCTTTGTGTCTAGTAACAACTTCAGCCTCGTTTTTATGATCCTCATCCATGGCAAAAGTTCTCAAAATGAGGAAACCTAAAGAACCTTTTTGGCACTGTAAAACTCAAAATCTCCCTCTTTGAAATTTCACTTGAAACTGAAAAGATCAAATCACAAAGAAGCCAAACCCCAAAAGGTAAAGAAAGGTTTAGATGTGAGAAGAAAAGGGGAGAACAACAAGGAGTAATTGAAAGGGATGGACCAGAGATGTTTTCGGGAGGGATGTAATGATATATGCAAGTTTTCGTGTAAAAGCAAAAACGAACTTGTACTTTTTGAGAAGTTAGAGTTGTTTCTCTAACAGAAAACGAGTTTGTTTACTTAAATTGTTATTGTGTTTAATTACAATGATTTCTTCGAGCAATTAAAAATGACAATATCTATTAATAATAAATTCTTATAATAATCATATAATATCAATTGAATAAATAGATATATATTGACTCATGCTTCTCATCTCATCTATACAAAAGGAGCTCCAAAAAGCTGTTTGTAACAAGATTTTATTATCAATAAATATTATCAACAAATCATTTTGAAAAAAAAGTTAAATCAAACTTCTCTTGTTTGTTTAAATTGGACGCTAAAAAGTAAATTGAAAAATACGAGGACTGTTGTGTAAAAAATAGGAAACCCAGGGTGAATATGTAATTCAAGAAGGGCTCCGTGCCACTGCCATCAGTTTTGCTTATCATGTTATCTCCAACATTTTGACCATTTTGTACTCGTTTCTTGTAGCACAGAACTGAAAATGGAGATTGCCAAGCCAGTTAACAATGGAGTTCGGCTTTTCAAATGTAAGTTTTACTTCTTTTCCTTTGAAGATTGAAGTTGTTGTTTGGGTTTCTGCCCAGGAATTTTGATCCCTGAATTGTTTAGTAGAAAATTGACCTGGAAATAAGCTGTCCAAGGAAGAAAGGCTTTGTCTTGCCAGTCAAAATGTCAAAGATTGATTGTAATTATGCTATTGGAATGGATATTGAGGTATAGGGTTAAAGACAGAATTACAGATTGTGGAATTATTTGAATAGTTGGGCCATGAACACAAGCACTCAAATGGGAATTTGATTTACTATAATCTTCCATATCCTATTGTCTTTTTGGGTTCTTCTGTTGAGTGTGTAGGATTATGGCTTCGAGATCTAAATACAGAAACTTTAGAGTTTTTCAGGGTCTCTGTTGTGTTTTGATCACACCACCAATTGTTTGCAGGTAATTTCCCTTCAACGCACCACCCTCTTGCACCATCTTTTCAAGTGATTTTGGTGGGCGCGGATGAGAATTTGAACCCTGTTTGCCCTAAAATTCTGAAAATGGTGAGGCATCGTGGGAATGCAATTAAGGTAAAGATTTCATCTTATCTTGCTTGTCCATCATCCCATCTGCCCAAACTGCTTGTTGTCGATGTAATGGGTTAAGCGCAAATCATCTATAGCATTTCTTGAACTGTTGATGCATATATATTGTGAAAGTGGGATAACTTGCCCCAATTTAACCACAGTTTTTCCAAGTTCTTTATTTTTTTTAATAATTCAATTGTATTGTATTGGACTGTCTTGCACTTATCCTACCAACAGAAAACCAATTTACAGTTATTGAGCAAATACTAACTGAGGAGAGCAATGGTGTTTCTTAGGATTATGAGGGTGAGGGAGGGGGACACAGATTTTGTTCGGATGTAAGGACTAGAACTCAAGTGAATGTCATTTTGTTGTGATTTGATTATCAATAGAATGTTGAGTTTGCCTCGAGTTTTGGAGGGTAACAATAGATTTTGTAGTCTTTTGTTATGGTGCCAGAGTGCCTAGGCAACCAGGCCCTTCTTTTGGACTCTTACCCATGTTCGGAGTATTGTTATTATTCTCTATTTACCTTTTCTAGTCCTTATGATTGTAGAACGTACAACTGGGGTAGTCCTCCCTTTCCCAAACCTCTTTTTGTCTTTCCCGAGATTTGAACTTGAGCTGTCTCCTAGAAGAAATATTCTCTTTTTACATTCTTTTAGTTAAGATTGTATGTTGAGAGATTGGGTGTAGTCCATACTAGAGTGTATAAGGTGAAATTTGATTACTTGTATAATCTCTTTGATCATGGTAAAGTTCCTTGATGGTTGCCATGAATGAGCGCTGGTCTATTTACCAAAACGGTTAAATTTCTTGTTTGTAATAGGAGCTTAGAGAACTAAGAGAAGGAAGTGCAAGTTGGGGATGCATCATGCATGGTGAGCAGGGGAGCATCCCAGAGTAGTTTAGTTTAAAGAATACTTATTCTTGTCATTGCCTTTCGATCTTACTTTATTTGTCTTGCACCAGACTGGTGCAATAAGGAGAAGAAGGGCATATTCAGGGACCGACACTTATGTTCTACTTGAACCTGGTAAAGACGAGAAGTTTGTTTCCAAAGAAGAATTGAAGGCCAATTTGAAGAGCTGGCTTGAAAGTTGGCCGGGAAAGGCGCTTCCACCTGACCTTGCAAGATTTGTATCCATCGATGATGCTGTATCTTACCTGGTTAGTTCTGTTTGTGAACTTGAAATAGATGGTGATGTTGGTTCAATACAATGGTATGAGGTTAGACTGGAATGAGTTGAGGGAGCAGGAATGAGCCCTGAACCTTCATTCTTCAAACATTGTACCATATACCAAGCTTTCGGATTTCTTAAGATTACAACTTTGGTCAAATATATAGCGCATTATTTGACATAATGTTTTCATTTCAAATTATACATGGTAGCATTCCTGTTTCTGAACATGGTGACCAAAAGCATGTCCTTATAAAAACCAAAAACTGATATTGCATTACAAAAGCCTGACAAATAACATGAGCCCCTTTGTCATAATTGAAGCAGAAAAAAAAAAAAAAGAAAAAAAGAAAAGAAAAGAAGAAGAAGTCTCAAACAAAATAAAGTTCATGAAATAAGACCACTTCAGACAAATTCAACAGGTTAAAGAATCTATCTGATTTATCTTCATCATCCTGAAATACCAAGTTCTTCAATTTTGAAACAGACTCGCCTCCTGAACAAGCAAATCCTGAATCTGCATCATGGAATTGAAGTTATTATACTTTCTCAATGAGAGAACATTAAATCTTCAACAAACTTTGAATCATTGCTCAGACCTTGGGCTGATTCAGACTAGGTGGAAGCAGTACAACACCGCCACCTTTCCTATTTCTTGCTAGGAGACCTCTCGTGACGGGTGACATCATAGAATCAGTGGGGCTTCTGTATCTGAAACCCAAAAACAAAAACAAAACACAACAAAACAATTGCCACATAAACATCTACAATAGCAAGCAAAATCAAAGCATATAATAAAGTTAATTGCTCACCTTTCTGGGAACTTAAACGCCTTAGGGACTTTAAGACGATCAGGGGTGCAAGTTTTTCGCAAATCATTGCCGGAATCTTGACTGTTGTGATCGATTTGTTGATCTTGTGGAGGGGTTTTGCACCCAACCGCAATGATTTCAGGTTTAGTTGGGGATTTAAGAGGCTTTTCTGGTTCTGACTCCATTCACTAATTTGAGACAATCAAATAATGGAAGAGACAGAGGAGTTTGTGTGGAAGGAAAAGTAGTGAAGCAATGAATTTTCTGTACAAAGAGAGAGTGGCTCAAGTAATTTGATATCAGAGAGTTTATATGTATGTTAATTGCATTTGAGGTTTGTGTACGGTTTGCAGTTGAGGAAAGATGGATCATATAATGACACCACAACGGTTCAATTTAAGGCAAAAAAACTAGCCGTTGGAATTACAAAAGTGAAAATGATAGTAGTATTTTATTGTGACTTATGAGCTCATCATATCACTTATTTATCAGCATCTGTCCCACAAAAAGGTGTGGTGTTTAATCTTAAAAATTAAAACAAAGCCACCCAAACTTCCACAAAACGGTGTCTTTGTGACCCATAGCCGTAAAGCCCAATTTACCCTTTTCTTTATAAGGAAAAATTCATTTTT